CGATCCTCCTGCCTCAGCCTCCTCAGCAGCTGGGACTACAGGTGTGTGCCACTACGCCTGGCTAATTTTTTCTATTTCTTAGTTGCCCGGCTAATTTCTTTCCATTCTTAGTATAGACGGGGTCTCGCTCTTGCTGAGGCTGGTCTCGAACTCCTGAGCTCAAACGATCTACCTTCCTTGGCCTCCCAGGATTACAGGCATGAGCCACAGTGCTTGGCCTGCTTGTTATTTATTTGAAATTCCAATTTATAATAACAGGGCATCCTGCATTTTATCCTGTATCTTGTCTTGATGGGTACAGGCCTTGTGCTGGGAGAAATCTGGTAGACAGGACAGGCTGCAGGCAGACAGAACCAAGGACAGAGCCAGTGACAAAGAGGCAGGCAAGTGAGATGGGAAAACGGTCCCCAGCCAGGCCAATCCCCACAGCAGGAGAGCAGGAAGGGCCCTGGGCTAGGGTGGCCTTGCTTTGGGATGTGGACTGGGCTGGACTCCAACCCTGACCTCCACCGAATAAGGCAGGGACGCAAGGACCGCAGAGCAGCCCCGAGCCCCAACGGGCCCTTTCTCTCCCTCTGTTGTTCTAGGTGACCTTAGGCAACTCTAGGCAAGGTCAGTCTGGGAGGTCTTCCTCAGTGGACTGCACTATGTATGGTTGGGACTGAGTGCTGGGGGATGTCCCCAAGTGTCTGTGCAGAGAGCTGGGCCCACCAGGGTCTTATGGTTTCTCCCTTGGACAGGAGAGAACTGCCACGCTGAATCAGCGTGTCACTCCCCAGGGTCCCAGCCTCCACCTGGTGTTCCCCACTCCCCAACTGTAGGTCCTAACCCTCCCTCGGTGGCCTCTCTGGTAAAAAGAATCAGTAATAACTACACATTATTGAATATGTATCTTCTTAGCTAGGCATCTTGTTTCATCTTTACAGCAACCTGTAATGTAAATGCTGTCATCATTCCCATTTTGCAGGTGAGGAAACTGAGGCTTGGAAAGGCGAATTAAGTTACCAAGGGCACCTAGCTAGTCAGCAGCAGAAGGGGGTTCAATCCCAGGTCTGTGTGACTCTGGGGTCCCTGCTCTGGTGTGTCTGCACCCTCTCCAGGCCCATATGTCATATACCTGGTACTCGTGTACCCGAGTATCTGCCCTGTGGTTGGGAGTCTTGGAAGAAGGGCCCAGACTGGCACAGAGGAAATAACAGTATGTGTTGAAAGATTAGATCTTATTGAAACACTAAATCTAGTTCCAAAATGTGCTGGTATGCCTTCCCTGTGTCCTGCTCCTCCTCTGTCCCTCTTCCTGTCCTCCCAGGCCTTGCAGCAGCCAACTCTTGGAACAACCTGAGCAGCCTGCCACATGTCCAGCTGAGACTCCGGCTCTGCGGAAGGAACCAGCTTGTGACTTGTCTGTCCTGCAGCTCTGCTCCAGAGGAAGCCCCTCCCTGGGACTTGGGACATCGTCCTTCGTCCCTAGAGGAAGTTATGCCTTTGTCCCTACTCAGATAAACAAACAGAACCCTTAGGACGTGTGTAATGTGAGGTGCAGGAGCAGTTCCCCAACCACGGAGACAGGCCTGGCCTTCCTCCCAAGGTCACCGGCAGGCGCCTGGGGAAGGCCAGGCCCAGTTAGATGGAAGGACCACGCTTAGCCCCTTTTGCAGATGGATAAATCGAGGCCCAGAGCAGGGAGCCATGCCCCTGTGCCAGCAGGGCCACCACTTCCCCTGCCTTTTCCCATCCCAACACACACGTAAGCGCAGGGCCTCAGAGTCACACCACACTGGGGACACCATTCACAGTGTGGTCCCCAAACAGGTGTCCCTGGAGTTTTGTGACACAGCAGCCTGTTCAAATACAAGCACACACACACCCATGCGCCCGCTGGGTCTAGGCCCCCTGTAGACCCTTCTATTCTCCGCCTTCTCCCCCCACATTGTCAGATCAGAGCCACAGGAAGCAGGGCCAGTGAGTGTGCAAACCGAGGGCCAAGATGGGGAAGTTTATTTTCGAAGAATCATCTAAACACATAGGGAGTATTTTTAGTCCCTGGCTCCTACCCGGATACTAAACCTAAACAAGGGGCCAGAGAGACGGCCCACTGAGGACGGCGAGTGATTGGTGGAGACAGGGTAGCAGGGGGTGCTGCAGACCCCACCCTGCCCCTGGCCACAGATGTCCTTGCCGAAGGAGAAAGCCGGCCATGGGAGCCAAGGAGGTGCAGAGCAGTGACCCCAGGTTCTGACAGGTCCCTGACCCCCACAACTCAGCTTCCTCATCCACGGGGTGGGAGAAACAGCACCCCCTGAGAGGATCATAGCGAGGCCCATGCCCAGCACAGAGCAGGCAGCCAGCAAATGTGCCTCGTACTCTATGCTGGGAACCGATGAGGAAAGAGCCAGTGACCCTCAGAGAGGTCAGGCTGTGGACAAAACTATCAGCCCTTGAGCCTCCCCCAGGCCTGGCCAGCTGCAGAGAAGTACGGGGGTACCTGCGCACACCTAATGCAGCCGCCCGGGGGGCACCGGAAGTGAATGAAAGTAGGGCTGGGGGCAGGGCCAGGCTGGGCCCTTTTTGTGAATAAGGCAGTCGTTGTAGTCCCCTGTTCCCTCTGAGAGGACTGTCTCAGGAGCCAGGCCAGGCTGGGCACAAGGAACTCAGAGCCACCTTCTCCAGGGTGGGGTCTGCTAGGAGGGGTGAGGCAGCAGGGAGGGAGTGAATGTCTGCAAAAGAGGAAGCTATTCAAGAACACACACACACACACACACACACACACACACGCACGCACACGCACACACACACACGCACGCACACGCACGCACACGCACACACACACGAAGGCATGCCATCAGCCTCAGCCTCTAGGGTGTGGGGGCCAATTCCAGGGCAGGCTGCCCACTCTTGGGGTGGCCGACTCGGAGTGACTTTGCTAGAAGTCGTGTGCTGGCAGCACCTGCTCTGACCAACGGGCCACAGGGAGGACAGGCGGGACACGGGGAGGTGGCCTGAGCCCTGTGCCCTGGACAAGCTGTGCCTGTTCTGGCTCCTGCCGGCCAGGTTTATTATTATGGGCCAAGAGGCCAGGGGAGGGTCATGTCCTTCTGCCTGGGGGTGGAGAGGCCAGGACTTCCCGGTCCTGCCAACACATTATTCATTGAAGTTTGCCTTGAGGGCAGGAATGGTGTGGGGGGTGGTAGTTGGGGGCAGTTCTGACCTCAGAGTCCTGAGCCTTGGCGGGGCAGCTTAGATCCCCCGCAGTCTGTGTGGGAACCTGAAGGGAAACAGGTTCAGCGTCCACACACCCCCTGCTGCACAAGCTGCCTGCTGTTGCCATGGCAACAGCAGTACCAACACCCCTCCAAGCTGTGTGGTCACCAGGGGAGGGAGGAGGGTACTTATTTTTGGTCACAAAAGGGAAGAGGGAGGAGAAGGGTGGGCGGGAGGGGGAGCAGCCCTTTTCCCTCTCCTAGGCTTAGCTGGCTGGTCCAAGGCACAGGCACGAGGTGACAGAAGGCTTAGAGGTTACCATCTCCAACCGGCTCCCCTCCCAGACCAACAGGCAGGGAGGCCTCTAGGAGTGGGTGACGGAACCCCTCACATGCACTCCTGGCTTGCACACCTTCCCAGGGGGAAGCTCACCACTTCCAGCCTGTTGGAGGGGTTGCCCTCACACCAAGCCCAGCAACTGGCTCTGGCCCTGGCCTTGACCCCAGCCCTGGCCCCTGTGGTCTCCGCCTGGCTCAGCAAGGCTGTTCTGGTCCCCTTCCCTGCTTCTCACGCTCACACTCCTCCAAAACCCAGCCCTGGCCTGGCCTGTGAGGTCTGAGAGGCTGGGGCTCCTCCATGCTTGGTGCCCAGGGGCCTGACCTGGCTTGGGGGCTGCCCAGGGGTTCCCTTTTTTCCCTCTCCCACTGGGGGTCTGGACCCTCCCCTCCTCACCTGCCGCCTCCTAGTCTCACTCCATCCACCAGCCCCAGGAAGGATAAAAACCTCGAAAGACACAAGCATTGTAGAGGTGGGGACTGTCCCCGAACAGTCCCAAGGGCTTAGGCCCAAACCCTTGATCCACCCAACTCCTCCTCCTCTGACATTTCCTTGCTGACCCATGACAGATCTTGCTCCTGGGCAGCCAAAATGGCCTCTGAGTTGTCCCCTTTGCTCCGCTCTCCCCTGACAGCCCCAGATCAGCTCCCTCTGCTCAGATCAGTGCTCTCCGCTGCCTCCCTGAGCTCTGCCTCCCTCCCTCCCTCACTCCACCTCCACTCCTTGCTGGCTTCCCTGCCGTTCCTCCACCACACGGACACTCGCTGTCCCCAGATGGCGGCCTTCTTATCTTCCAGATGTCCCTTCCCGGACCGCCTTCCCCAACCACCCATGTAAACTGCAGCTTCCCTCCCCCAACTTCCTTCTCACTAGCACTTACTGCCTTCCGATATATTAGACAATGTGTCGATTTCATTTATAGTCTGTCTCTCCGCTGGACAGTGAACTCCAGGAGGGCAGGCATTTCTGTCCGTTTCCCTCCCTGCCACAGCCCTGGTGCCTAGAACATACATGCTCAAGAAATAGTTGGGCAAATGAACAAACTCTCTGTCGCCCACCTACCTGGGCTGTACCCACCCACAACCCCCGTCTCCGCCCCTAGTGCAGAGCAGAAAGCACCGTCTCAGTCGGCTTTGCTGTAGCCTCAACACACGGCCCCCATCCAGCCTCTTCCTGCTGAGCCTCAGTTTCCCCCACTGTGTAAGGAAGAGATCAGATGGCAGCTCTGCTTGCTTTGGCTGTGTTGGAGCTCCAGGTGCCTTCAGCATCCCTCTGAGGCCAGAGTGGAAGGGAGCAGGGTGTAGACAGGGAATTCACAAAGACCAGGATGTAGAGACACCTGGTAGTACCTGCTGGAGGAAACTTCCAGGCCTTAAGGCCCCTGCCCTGGAGCAGGGGTGAGTTGAGGGGAACAGGGTGGGGCAGTTGTGGGGAGCTAAAAACAGACTTGAGAAAAGTTTCTCCAAAAATACATATTTTAATCATGCCTAAAGTTCAACCTGGGAAGCCTAAGGAAGGGAAGGAAGCCCAAACATCCAAGGGCTGAGGCCAGAGATCCCACGTGCAGAAGTGAGTCGTCACCGGAGGAAGCCAGCCACCAGGCAGGTGAGCGTGGGGACCAGCAGGGCGGGCAGAGGCAAGGGCAGCAGCTGGCCTGGGGCCTGTGACTTGTACACCGTGCGCTGCCCCTGGTCCTGCACAGGCCGGACATTGTCTGTCATGTTCAGTTTTTGGTCCTCGTCGTAGTACAGCTTATAGGAGAACGCCAGGATCTGCGGAGAGAGAGGGCTCAGCGGGGGCAGCAGCAGGAGCTCACGCCAAAAGGGCTCCATAGCCCCACCTCTCAAGGTCATTATGAAGATGATGGGAACCAGGGACGTAAAGTGCTTGGCATGGTGAGGGCCAAGTTCCCCTTGGCTTCCCTTAACTCACAGTTTGGAGGGCCCGTGACTGCTATTACCGTTGTCACTGTGGCCGTAGTACAGTGGTTCTTGAACTTGTGCGTGCATCAGCATCAGCTGGGGGTGGGCCTGTTGGGCCCCAGAACTTGGGCCCCACTCCCAGAGTTTCTGATTTAGTAGTTCTGGGGTGAGGCCTGAGGATTCGCATGTCTGGCAAATTCCCACCAGTGATGATGTTGACACCACTGGCCTAGTGACCACACTTTGAGAATCACCGTTATGGAATGGAAGTGCCACAGGGCAGGGATTTGGGCCCTTTGGGCTGACTGCTGTCTCCCCAGAGTCTGATATGTTGTAGAAACTCGGATACCATTTGTTGAGCAAATGAAATATTTCCTACTGCCTCTGAGCACCTCCTGGCCAAAGACCCTGCCTCATGCTGATGCCTCTTCCCCAGAGGCTGGCTCCCTGCTCTTACCTGCCCTTTGGGTTTCAGCCTGGAAGCCTTTTCTAACCAGCCCCTCCCCAACCTCCCAGCCAGCCCTGATCCAGGGATGGAACAGCCCACACCCTTCTTGTCTGTCTCTAGTGAATGTCTGTGGATTGAACCAAAGGACTTCCACTCCCTGGAGCTCCTCCCCCACACCCAGGGGACCTCTGGGGGCAACAGAGGGACGATGTCTGGGGAGCCAGGCAGAGGGGCCCTGCATACCTGGTCTCTGTGCAGTTCAATAGGGTCCTCGAACACAGTCCAGATAACCGTCTCGTCGCAGGACGGCGTGGTGAGCGAGCCCAGGTAGCGGAAGTAGTGCCTCAGTTTCTCCTCATTGGGGAGAAAGTCCAACAGGCTGATCTGCCCTATGGTGGTACTCATCTCTGGGGTGGGGGGACAGAGGATACTGTCAGTGGGGGTTGGGGAAGAGCCCTTCACACCCCAACTCTGACAGCCCAGCTGCCTCCCCTTGCCCCTTCCTTTGTGGGGAGAGGTTCCCTCCTCACACTTCACCCTCGTCCCGGATCCTAACTCACCGGGTCTGGGGATTTTAGACAGTGCCTCCACCAGCGGCTGGAAGCCTTCATTCACCGCAGATCCAGGCTGGAATGGGAGGGAAGGGGGCTTGAGAAGGTCTGTGGGGAGCTCATGGTGATGCCCAGTTCATTCTCCTGATCTGGGTTGGGGGGTGGTAGGCAGCTTCTGGGATTGAGGCTCTGGGTGCCCCACCTGGCCTGGGGGCATACAAGTAACCAGAAACAGAGGGGAAGTCGGGGTCTCCTCTGCCCCGTCCTGCCTTGCCTGAGTCCCAGGTTTCCAGATCCTAAGAAGTAGCCCCTCGGACCCTGTTCCCCGGGAGCTGGGTGATGGGAGTCCTACCTTCACCAGGAAAGCCAGCACTGCGGTATCGTATTCAAACTTCTGGGCGTGATTATCGTTCCCCAATGTCCCCTTCTCTGTCTGATGTACTATGTGCATCTGGTGGGGGATGGGCGGGATGGAGAGTGGACCTTTGAGGGGGCCGGAATACCCTCCTTGCCCAAGGTGTGTACACACCCAGAGCTCGGCCAGGAGACCGATCTGGAGGGGGACCCTCACCTCCATGGCAAAGTGATGCCCATCGATGCTGTGCTCCGAGCCTGCATTCATCGTCTTGGACCAGTGCAGGTGGAACTGCGTGAGCTGGAACTGAGCAGGCAGTCCTCCTCCAGCAATCGTGATCTCAATCCCATTCGTTATCGGCGACACGCTCACTGAGGCACGGGACGGGGCAGGGTCCTGGAACCGGCTTTCCCAGAGCCTCTCCCAGCCCCTCATCCCAGCTCCACCCAGACAGGCCTTCTCTCCTGCCTCCCACCTTTCCTGGACCACCCTAACCTTTCCCTGGCCCCCTTCCTCACCCCGCTGCCCACCTCCCCTCTCCTGTACAGCCCCCACTGCCCAAACCGCAACCCTGCCCTGGTCCCTCCTCTGCTCCAACACCTCTGTCTGGTGCCCTGGTGTCCTCAGGGTAATGTCCAAATTCCTCCACCCTGACTGACCTGTCCCTGGTCCCCAGCCTGGCTGGTCCTGGGCCTGGATTCACTCTCTCCATCCACACAGAACCACTCGCGGTTCCCCAAACACCCCAAGCTGTTTCATGCCTCTGCGCCTTTGCACATGTCACCCCTTCATCCTGGAATGTTTCCCCTCCCCCCACCCCCAGACTGGTCTGATGAAAGTATTGAAAACACAGCTAGAATGTTCCTTCCTCTCCCAAGCTACCTCCCCCACGGGGTTTTCAGCCCCTCCTCAGCAAAGGTGGACCTGGGCTTGGCGTGCCCTCCCTGGGGGAGCCCTTTCCTCCCAGTCTTTGGGGAACTCAGGGTGCCTGGGGCCTCCGTTCAGCCCACCTGAGTGTCCGTTGTTTTCCACAGTCCACTCTAGCTTCTTATCGTAGCCAGAGAAGGAGAAGGGTCCCAGGTTTTTGTCCACCTTCACCTTGTTGGTAATGATGTCGATGGGGGACTGGAAGTCCTTCTGGCAGTGTTCACCCCACTTGTCTGGCCCTGAGTGGGGAGGGAAGGTGGGCGAGAGTCAGGGTTGCCTGGCACTGAGAAGCAGCCTCCTCCGCCCCACTGAGGTCAGGCCCATACAGCCAGGAAGGCCGTACTGCAGGGATGCTCTGCTCAGAACTCTGCCCTTGCCCTCCTTGGGCCTTCCTCCTCCTCTTCATCGTTGTCCTCCTCCACAGACACACACATGCAAAGCCAGTGAGTCTGGCCATGATGTGGGGCAGGATGAGAGCAGGGTTGCCAACGCGTGGCTGTGAGCTATGGGGTCTGGACAACTTCCTGATGCTGTGCGCGTGAAACCTGAGCCCTGGTTTTCTCAACTGCAAAATGAGAACTGCAGTGACAGCCCGCTTCCCAGGGGTGTTATGAGGTTTACAGAGGTGAATGGGAGAGGGCTGTGGGTGCTGTGGCAGGGACCCTGGAGGGCTGCTGAGCAAAGGACACTAAGCATTACTGAGCAATGGAAGGAGGGAAGTAACCCTGGAGAAGCCTGGTTCTTGTGCCCTGGTAATGCCAACCCCCGGGTGGGCAGGGGTCAGGTGGAACAACACTGCCCAGTCCCCAAAACACAGAGGCAGGGAGAAAGCAGACTGCAGGCAAATTGGTTTGCATGTGAATAAAAGTGTAAAGGACCATCTCTCAGGCCCACATGCAAAGGGTGTCACCAGAATAAAACAACTCTCCTTTTTGCTATGAGAAATAGAAAAATGTCTTTCTCCCTTTAATGCTGCTGCTGATTTATTCCACGGGGAACTCGCCCTCTCGGTGACGGGAGGTGCCAGTGAAGACTCAGGTCACTCTGTGTTCCCTGAGCACCAGGAGTGTGTGTGTGTGTTGGGAGCTGATATCTGACCACCATCATCCTTCATCCCTCCCACCCTCCTGGGACTGCATTTCAACCTGGATGGTTCCCACCGTGCAGAAGGCCTGTCCCCAAGCCTGGCTGTACTCACCCAAGCAAGTGTAGTTGGAGGCCTCGACTTGAATCTCATAGCACCAGTGTAACTCTGCAGCAAGAGAGGAAGGCAGTGAGGCCTGTGCACACGTGTGTCAATGTGTCTGTGTGCACACGCATCTGTGAGCACATGTACACGGGGGAATCAGAGGCTGGGCATATCCCTGGTGTCAAAGCCCTCCCTTGGGTTGGGATGGAGAGTGTTCCTGAGGTGTGGGACTGAGGACACTTAATAAGAAAACAACCCATGGGCTGATCATCTGGTCAGCTTGCCTAAGGTACCGTTTCCCCAGGCAGGGCTGTGCGAAGCAGCTGCCAGCCCTTCAGGGTAAATCCTCTGAGGCCTCAGCTCTAACATGGGGCTGGCCTGGACACTCTCCATCCCTTGGTCATCAGCCTCCTCCTTCCCCTTCCATCTCCCATCCCAAACCTGGAAGAGAGACTCTGGGGAGAGAGGAAGAGGAGGATTAGGGCCCAGCCTCCACTCCTGGGACAACAGAGTCAGGCCCAGCCTGGCAGCTTTCCCAGGTGATCTGAGTTACGTGAGGATACTGGGCTGGCCCGTCCCCAGAATGCCCCGCCTCGTGTTATTAAGCCCTGTTCTTGGCTAAACTTCCACAGCTCCCACAGGCAGGAAAGCAGCCAGGCCTTTTCCCCTGCCCCACCACCCCACAGTCCTGGTCTTTGGGGCCAGACAGACTTGGGTTCTAATCCTGGCTCTGATTCAGGACAATAGAGCCCAGCGTCTCTGAAAAGAGGCTGCACCACAAATGTGGCACACTAATGCAAGGTGTCAGTGATGGCAGAAACTGTGTGCAGGGGCAGAGGGGGCATGTAGGGATCCTCTGTGCTTTCTGCTCAATATTGCTGTAAACATAAAACTGCTGTAAAAATAGAGTCCGTTAATTTTTTTCAAAAGGCTGCACCAACAGGATGAACAGAGCATTTCATCCAGAGCTAGAATTCTGGCCCAGCCACTCATGGGGCTTAGGTGGGTTTGGGGGCAAGTTCCTTAATCTCGCTGAGCCTCAGTTGTATCATCTGTAAAATGGGACTAACATACCCACCTCATAGGGCTGTGGGGAGGATTAAATGAGGGGTGGCATAGAGCTTCCAGGCAGTCTGACACTCAGTAAAATCCCACTGGCAAGTCCTTCTCTTTCCCCCCACCTCCCTTCCTCTGGTGGCCTCCTGTCAGTGAGCAGATGGCCGAAGCTAAGGAGGGGCAGAGAGAGGAGAGAAGTGAAGTGGGTTGGAAAGAACTCAGGGATGAGGAAATGTCTAAGAAAAGCACGGCTCCCAGCTCAGCTGAAGCTAAGGCCTCTGAGCACAGTGCCCTCTCCCCTCTGCCTGGGCTGCCCCCAGCCCCATCTCCTCTCAGGTCTGGGCCAGCGGAGGGGTCCCTGGAATGGGATCGGGTTGGGAGGGAGCCATGAGAAGGTCAGGCTCTCAGTAGAGCAGTGGGGAAGGCTTCCAGCCAGCGGGGTGAGCGGGAAACTGTCACCCTCTCTCTTGCCCAAAGAGCCACTTTGGGTTTTTGGTTTCCCAGCTCTGGACCAATGCTTCTCTTACCCTGTTGGCATAGCCTTTTTCAGAGATGCAGGGTTTTCCCCATGACATTCCATCCTCTGCCCCGGACAGGGCTTTGCTGCCCCTGGGAGTTGCTGCATCTGGGGAACCCACACACACATCAACTCCGCAAAGGACAGTGGTCGTTTCCCACCCAGACCCCTCCTTGCGGGTGGGCAGAGCTCTGAAGCTGGAGACCATTCACCTGCCTTCCAGCTCGGCTCTGCCTCTTGCTTAATCCCTACCAAAGAACGAATTAACTTTTCTGAGCTGCACATACTTCCTCAGACAGAAGGTGCTGCCGTTGAACTCCCAGTGCTAGCGTCCGAGGGGATAACGGATTTGAGGTCATTTACATTGTGAGAAGTCCCCACCCCTTGGAGGTCCCAAAGGCAGAAGGGGTCTTGTTGCTTGAGCTGGCACCTCTGCACTGCAGGCCCAAGGGGAAGCTGTTCCAGGAGAAGCCTTGCTTAAGCCAGAGTCCTCAGGAGCCCGCTGTGAAGGGCGGGGCCCTCTTGTGAGCCTCCCACAACCTCCCTAGGGGGCCCATCTGGTCCAGATTTAGCTTTTTATAGACATTTACTCTTCCCTAGCTCTGGCTACAGCTCCCCGGCTTGTAGTAGTGACCTCTGATCCACCGTCTTAATCATAGAGACTTTTGACCTGCTTGGCTGAACGCTCTTGTAACTACCTTCTTCAGGAAGCAGAAGCCAGGAAAACATAATGGTGATGAGGCCAAGGCTAGGGGTCAGGTCTGTGTCCGTGGAGTGAGGGTGGGGTGCTGGCTCTCAAGCTCATGAGAGGGGCACCCTTGCAGATAATTACCAGCTCACTGGCTCAGGCCACTTCCAAGATGGCCTGGGAAAGACAGGGGCTACTCATAGCTCCAGGTCCTACCCAGGCCACCTGCATGACCAGAGATGGGGTTAGACACCTAAAAACCACTGCCAATCACCCAGCTGCTGTCCCCAACTCTTGACCACCCCATCCCCCTTTTTTAGAGATGACTGAAGAAACTCCCTCTAATGGACCTTGCTCACCCCACCCTCCTACTCTAAGGAAAGAGGAGTAATCCTGAAAAACAGCTCAGCAAAACCCAAGTGTGTCCTGGGCAAAGTCCCAGCAACTCCTGGCCAGGGGTCTGGGGCACTGAAGGGGGCCAAATATCCTCTCCCTCTCCCCCTCTTGAAGGGAGCAGATGCTCTAAGGATTTCCATGAGCGACCTGGTCACTCTCCAGCTTTAAGTCCCCCTGGGATGGGTGGGGGGAGGAAAGCAGGTCCCAGTCGAAAGCCCTGGCACCAAAGCGGAGCACAGCTTGTGTGAGGGGACGGGCAAGGATGGGCTCCTGGCCAGCGGCAAAGCCTCCTAACCATCGGAGCAGTTGCTAATGGAGCAGTTGCCACGTGCCATGGAGGCGCTGCACTGTGCACTTACTCTCATTACCTTATTTCAATCCTTTAGACACACTTACTATCCCTGTTTCTGAATAAGAAAACTGAGGCGGAGTGACTTACCCAAGACCATACAGCTACAAAGCTCCTAAGTTAATTGCAAAGCATTTCTCTTTCTGTTATGTTTCTACCATGTCTAGCTGCTTACTGTATTTCAAACATCCAACCCTACAAATACAATTTTCCACATTCTGCCTTTTGTCTTTCCTCCTCCCCTGGATGGGGCCCCGAGGAGATGCTGCGAGACGTCCCTCATCCTCCCGCCCGGCCAGGTACCTCCTGCAAAGGGCACACACTCTCTCCCCCTCCGCTGCTGAGGGCACCTTCAGCCCTCACTCCAGCCACCAAGGGCAGAGCACCTAACTTCGGAGAGGAGGTTTGGCCTGGGTGGACCTCCCCAAGAACCATTCCAGGGGTAACTGGGTTGGAAACCGGCAGCTGAGGCCTTCCTGTGAAGGGGTGTGGGGTCGCAGAGAAGGCAGCCCCGGATCCCTGTGCCCCGCCGCTGGGAGCCGTTAGCTCCTTATCAAACATTAACACGCCTCTCCTGTCACCTCCCAGCTGGACGAATAATTAAGAGCTCGGCCTCAACATTAATCTTTAAACGAAAATCACCCTGTCCGGAAAGACCGGCTTCGCCAGGACCTCGGGTCTCTGGGTGTCCCCAGCCAGGCTGCCAGTCCCGCGCTGAGAGCTGGGCCATAACCGCAGCTTGCCGCCCTCGGGGGCGGGCGAGGAGCCCGAGGCAGGAAGCGGGAAGACAGGACCCCACCACACCCAATGGCAGTTCTTGCCCCGGGCCGGGGGCAGTCACCTGGCACTGAGCCCCAGTGGGACGGCCCCACCGACAGACTGAGCAGGACCAGGAGGAGAAAAGCAGGCGTGCGTCGAGGAGGGTCAGAGCAGCATCCTGATGGCAGACTCGCACCGCACCCGTCCGTCCGGCCCGGGCCGCCGGCCCACGCGCACTCCCCGCAGCCGCGCACACGCGTGTCGCACACGAGCTCGCGCGCCGCCCCCGCCTCCCGCGCCGTCGCCGCTGCCCGCGCACACGCACGCCGCCGGGGCAGGGGCAGGGGCTGGGGGCGCAGAGGGGCCCCCGCGGGGCACCTGGGGCCGGCGCCCGGGAGCTCACCTTCAGCTGCCGAGGGACCCGCCGCGGCCAGGGCCAGGAGCGCAAGCAGCAGCAGCATCGCGACCGAGCAAGGACGCCGCCGAGTCGGGGGTCGCGCACCCAGGAGGCCGCTGAGGATGCCGCGATCATGCGGGCCCGGGGTTTTATAGCGGAGCCGCGACGGGAGGTAGCCCCGACAGCTGGACGCGGGAGGCGGCTCCTCCCCCTGGCGGAGCCTCCCCTCGGGTCCCCTCCTCCCGTCCCTGATCTGAAAATCTCCGCTCTCCCGCATGACCCGTCACGCCCCGCCACCTTTTGCCCGGTGCACGAGGCCCCTTCACTCACCCCGCGTCCTCTCCACTGACAAGCGTCGCCCTCCCCGCCCCCATCCTCCCTCCGGTCCCTGCGGTCCCTGCTTCGGGACGGGGAAGCTACCTCACAAGGTGCTCAACCTACACAGGGGCGAGTGCCCAGGATTCCTGACTGCTCATTTTGGTGCCAACCACTGCGCAGTGGTCTCGGAATGGGACCGTAGCAGGGCCTTGGGGCGGGGGCAGGGGGATGTCCTTGTGGAGAGAGGGAGCCGAGGGACTCGCGATGCTGTTTGTTGAATCGGTGGCCCCAGAAGGAGGGCTCCTGTCTCTATCAGGCGGTGCTCACTGATTCTCTGGGTCTCATCTCTTTTTCCGTTTCCTCCCAGGCTGCTGCAGTCTTAATTTCTAAGCAGACCAAAGACGCTTCTTCCAACACAGAGCAAAGCTGGTGTTTATGTGATGGCCAGAGCTGGGGGCGGGGGCGAGGGGGGGCTGGTTCCTATGGAGGTGCCCAGATCCGAAGGATGGGATGGAAAGAGAAAAGACTGGGGTCCCAATGGACCCCTAGTTCTCCTATCTGTAAGGATCTCCAGAGGAGTCCAGGGAAAGGAAAGTTCCCTTGGGAGAAAAGTTCCCTTTGGGGAAATAGGGCTGCTCCCCCTCAAGCTGCCTCTTGTCTCCTCTCTTAGCTGTGGACCACGGCTACTGCAGGTCTGTGCATCCCACATGGGGTGGGGGCTTCCGTGGGAGTTTGGGAAGCTCAGACTGAGGTGGGGGAGAGGGACAGGGAACCAGGCAGTGGACCTCAATCCCCTTCATCAACAGGAAGCCCCAGTTTTCTGGTCCAGCCACTTCCCCATCCGCTGCCAACCTCTCAGCTCCTACGGGCTTTGGACCTGGGCTAGGGACCGCTGAAGGGGCATTGCCTCCCCCAGAACGATCCAGTCAAAGGGGCTTCCTCCTGGCTTAGAGTCGTGGCTGACTTCCCCCTTCTGGCCCAGGATCACACAGCCTCACTGAGCAGCTTTGATCCTACACAGAGGCAGGTGGGAGGAGAGGGGGTGTCCACATCATGCTTAGGGCCCTATTGTCAACACTGCTTCAGAATTTAATCACCAACCTGGGACCATGACAATCCGGGGAGGGGTTCCACACCCCAGAGCCTTTTCTGGGGAGTGGATTTGTGTTCACAGTGCTATAAAAACGTCTCTTTCAGGACCGAGGAAGCCTATTCCTGGGAACTGAGGCTACCCCAGAGAGTCCCTGTGAGCCCAGGCCAGCTCCCTGGTGAGTGGGGGAAAGATTTGGTGGGGTTAAGGGACTATTGATCAGGAGATGTTGCATTGGAGTCCCCCAGGGGAGGGAAGTGTGGGTGTGTTTTGAGGCCAAAAAAATGGGTAAGAAGAACCAGTCCCTGACAGAGCATCCCCTCCAAGCAATTGGGGGACATTAAGGAAGTGCACTTCCTCACAGATTGCATCTTGATGGTGGGCACCATGGAGGCTGCACACTGGCTATGTGGGTGGTCAGGGGGTGGCTCCTGCTCTATCTGCCATCTCTAACTCCAGGGTCACACAGGATTAGAGGCCCTCCCCCTCCTGGTGTTAGCATTCCCAGCCTTATTGCCCAGCCCCAACCCCAGTGCTGGCCTTCCATAAACCAGTCACCTGTCACTGTCTAGGCTGCCTGGGACCCAGCTTACCTGTAGGAGGCAAGGCCAGGTTCAGGGTCGTTAGAGTAGGGATGGGTGCTGATATGTACTTATAGGGCCCATAAAGCTGCCAGCCCAGGCAGCCTGACTGGGAGAGCCCAGCCCAGCAGCTCCAGCCTTCAGCAGGGTCCCTGAGTGTCGGAGTTCAAGTCTTTGCTCTTCTTCTGACTCAGGGATGACCTTGGGCAACTTTTCTATTCCTCTCTGATTGCAACTTCCTCATCTATAAAGTGGAGATGGTAATCCCTGCCCTAACCTCTGCCAATAAACAGTTCCTGGGAACCTGCTGTGAGCCAGGGCCTGCTCAGCCTGGACTTTCACAACCAGCCTCATGGTGCCTGGGCGTAGCCGCTGGCCCATGGCAGATGCAAAGATGGATCACAATCCTTGTCCCCTGTGGATTTTCACTCGCAATGTCCTGTCCGGAACAGGAGGGAGGCAGTGGGGAAGCTGGAGGGCTTTGAGGGTAGGATACCCCTGTGGTCCCTTCTGGCTCCACCCACGTGCTCTGTGATGTCAGCTGAGCCTCAGTTTCCCTCATGTGTGAAATGGAGTCATAACCCTGTCTTCCTTAAAGGTTGCTGTGAGGATTCAGTGAGCTAAAGTCTGAGGACTGGCCCAGAGTTTGGTACATTGGCACATGTGACCATGACCTCTAAGTAGAGGTCCCTTACCTGGATTAAACCTGACCCTAGGTGAGTGTGGATGCAGCATCCGGTGGGAGGGGACCCTGGGATAGGCCCAGGAAAGGCCCCTGGCACATTCTGGCTCTTCCCAGACTCCTAAGGGTGAGGAAAGGGAAGCGTCAACTGCGTGGGGTGAGGACGTGAGATTCAGACTCAGCCCCTCCTGGGACTGATAGGTGTGGGCTAGAGGTACAAGGGAGCTGAGAACCTGTGCTCCTGGCGTTCATAGCCCAGGGGAAGGTCAAATACATATCCCTAAACAGAAAATTGTTTATCCCATAAACAGAAAACTGCCATGCCTTATGTTTGGAGTGGGAGGTGGGCAGACAGAGCAATAAGGTAGAAGATCAGAAGAGGATTTGGAGCAACAGGGGGTTCACACCCCAACCCCAACACTTACCCTTCACATCCCTCAGGCTGCATTCTGATCAGGGAAATGAGGATAAAGATAGCAGCTCCCTCACACGTGCATGGTCAGAATTCAACAGGATGATGCTGGGCAAAGGGCCTGGTAGAGGTCCAGGCACTTAGTAAGTGCTCAATAAGCCTCAGCTATAGGTATGAGTTGTTCAAGACAACCACGGCCTTATACCCGGACTAGTACAGGAGCCCAGAGCAGCGGCGCCTAACCCTGCCAACGGGGAAGAGATTGGGGAAGGCTTTCCAGAGGAGGCAAGACCTGAACTGAGTCTTTAGAGACAAGTTGGTATTAACCAAAGGGGTAGGCAAATCCAGGTAGGGGAGACAGGAGGAGAAGAGGCATGGAGGTGGGGTGCACAGGAGCATTAAATGAGAGGGGAGACCACTGAGAGATGACACTACAGAGGCATTTGGGGCCAGCCAGACAGGACTTGATTGTTAGAATTAGAAGGTTGGACTGATCTCTCCCTTGGTGGAGGGGTGGATATCAAAACCCTGATTTTATAGACCAGGAAACACCCTCAGAGAGGGTCACTCGACCCCAGAAGGGGACAGGGATCCTCAGTTATTTCTTTGAGTTACAGAAGAGGAAGCCAAGGCCCAGAGAGGGCAGTGACTCGCCCAATTTGCCCAGCAAAGAGAGAGCAGAGGTGGGATTTGAACCCTGGACTCCTGCCCCCACCCCCTTCCCAGTGCTCTTCCTCTGCTACCTCACCTCCCACAACACCACATGCTGCCCTCCTGCTGGGAGCCCAGCCTCCGTCTGTCCTTACTTTCCACACCCTCAGATTCTCTGCGGATTGGCAGATGATTCACAGAAAGGTTTGCAGAGATTCCAGCTTTTGTGTCCCTGGATAGTGAGAGTAAATCCACACAGAACGAGGTGTAATCAGTAGCCTGCCCCGGCTCCGCCACTCCCCAGCCTGGATCTCTGCCATATTCCAGCAGGGACAGAAAGCTCCTTCCGCCAGCATCTGTGGGGGCTACGGTCCCTCTTCCTCCTCTTTGTGCCCACCCTGTTTCTCCGGACTGTGGAGAGACCCCTGGGGAGATCTGGAGGCTGTCACTGGGCCAGGACAGGGGCCTCTTTGATCAAGGAGTTGGCAGAAACTTCTGCCCGTGAACAATTGAAAATAACAATAGCAATTAGGCATGTGGAATAGTCCAGTGATGGAGATGACATATGTTCTGTTTCTGCCTTGTAGAAAGTTCAGGAATACTCCCCCAGGGTTGTCTCCTCCCCTCTCAGTGTCTCAGCCACAGGAGGCCAGGATCACGCCAGCAGGAGGCTGGGATCCGAGCTCCTGTGGGTTTTCCAAGTGTGTTCATTCACCTTCTGGTTTTGTGGCGGAGTGACCCCTAAAGATGGTGACGGTGACGAGAGGAGAGTTAGGTGGGGAGAAAAAGGAAGAGCCACACAGACAGCCTTGGGGGGAAGGAAACAGTCCCTCCTCAGCTAACACTGTGGCAACATTGAGAAAACAGCTGTGTCAGGGGTGTGTGTGCGTGTGTGTGTGTGTGTATGTGTGTACTTCTTTTCCCCTGATTACCCAATTACCTGTTCATTGTAGAACATTTGGAAAGTAAGAGAAAAAAAAATCACCAATGACATTGTCTCCCAGAGGCAATCATTTCATAATTTTGACATATTTTTAAGGAAAAAAAGTTTTAAAGAAAATAATCACCATCCTACCCTCAGAGTCTCTGCTGATTGGTAGATGATTCAGAGAAAGGTTTGCAGAGATTCCAGCTTTTGTGTCCCTGGACGGTGAGAGTAAATCCGCACAGAACAAGGTGTAATCAATGGCCCAGGCTCTGCCACTCCCCAGCCCGGATCTCTGCCGTATTCCAGCAGGGACAGAAAGTCCCTTTCCTGCCAGCACCTGTGGAGGCTGTGGTCCTTCTTCCATCAATCCATGTTTAGTTTTACTGTGTTCCCTTTCGGTGTTCATCTATATGCAAACACACTATTGCCATAGTGAACAATTTAGTGCCCTGCTTTTTAACCTCCACATTTCAGTGTAAACATGAGTCCA